TTAGGACAGAGAAGAGCGGGAGTTGGAGGCAGTGCTTCGAGTTCGACGGATTAGGACAGAGAAGAGCGGGAGTTGGAGGCAGTGCTGCAGTAGGTAGGGACGGGTTTTCCCCTTTCGAGATTTCCCCACTGGGTTTGCTCAAAGCGGTTTTTCACCTGTCCGAGTATGTACGTAGACGCTTGCAGCAGGAAGGAGACGAGGACAAGGATAGGCGTAGACAGTATATAGTACAATCAGCAAAGTACCAACTTTGCTGATTCTTCAATATCATTCTTTGGCTACATCGATTGCAGAGGAGAGGCGATCCATTAGCACCAGAGCCCCTAGATTTCCACGAGACATCCATCGAGTTCGACCCAACCTGCGACCTAGTCGTCGTGTTTCCAGTACCGTTACAAGTGTCTTGTATGGTTGAAGTTGTGGATCACAGCTGAGCTGACATGTCAGTCACTGTACCACTCAAAGCTGTCCACCCCACTTACTTCATGTCCACTCTCTTTTGGTATGACTATGTCCACCTTCCTGATCATGACTTGGTCTACATATAAGCTGTTGTCCACCATGTCCTCATGGAGATTGTTTCCTCATGACTGGGAAGGCACATTTGAATGGGTGCTGAGTGATGTGTGATGGCGCCAGAAATTATAGGTCGTCCATCAATAACTGAAACTTCGAGAGGTGTGTCCTTGGGTAGCCTTGGGATAGTTGTGGTATTGAGGAAGGTTGAGTTGATAAAACTGGCTGTTGCTCCAGAATCTATCATAGCCATAGTGTTGTAACGAGAGTTCCCAAACATGAGAGTAATGGGAAGACATAGGTGGTCCTTGGGTGTAGCTGGTGAAAGTGTCATAGGTAATAGCGTTGTAGCCGTGATCCATAGTTGATTTATGGATACTGTGTTGTGCCCTGTAGAGAGCCCCAGAGGTGGGGGCATGCCTAAGCCTGGGGTTGGAAGTTTTTTGACTCCGTGTCAATAGTTGTGGTGATTGCATTGACTTGAGCTTTATTTTCACGACGACGTTGAGCAGCACGGCATTCAAAAGCTTTGTGTCCAGGTTTCCCACAATAGTTACAGAGGTTATTCTTCATACGGTGTTGACGCTCTGCTTGGGAGATAGGACCATAAGTTTGATGTGCTTGAGTCGCATCAATCTCCATAGGAGTTGGAGTATAAGTTGTGGTTGTAGCACGAGGGACAAAAGTGTTGTTGGACTTGGGAAGAGTTGTGGTCCTTGGATTGTTGGTGGAAAATGTGTTAGTGTGCAGGTTGGTGTTGAAGCACTGATTGATTGATGAAGTACGAGGGTTGTTGTTGGTGCGGCGATGTTGGTAAAGCATATCATCATATTCAATAGCGGATGTTACTAGGGTGTTATAATCTGCAAACTTGCTTGGAGCAAGAAGTCGATCCTTCACATCATCCTTTAGTCCATCAAAGAAGTTTTGTTTCTTGGTTTCATCATTCCAGTGGACTTATGCAGCATGACGCTGGAATTCTGTAGCATAGATACTAGCTGAACCAGTTTGACGGAGGTTGCGCAGCTTGAAGCGGGAGGTTTCTGCAAGATTGGTATCACCAAAATATTTCTTGAATTCAATCTGAAAATCATTCCACACATGCAACCATGAGGGTTGATCATCGATGTCCATGTCGAGGTATGGGAGTACCCATCTGTATGCTTCATCCTTGAGCAAGTTAGTAGCAAAAGCAATTCTGCTGATATCAGTAGAGTAGGTACGAGGTTGGACAGTGAAGACCAATGTTACACTTGGCAAGGAACTCCAAAGTTTGATCCTTCTTGCCACTGAATGACGGTGGAGAAGAAATCTTTGGTTCCTTGATGTGCTCAGGTCGAGTGTTGGTAGATGCTTGTAAAGCATTGATCTGAGTCTGAAGTTGGATGATCATGTCCTGTTGGGCTTGGAATGCTTGTTCAGCAGTGAGGTGAGTGTTGTTGTTCTGTTCAGACATGTTGGAAAGTGTCATGAATAGTGATAAGGAATTCTGACTCATGCTCAGAATAGTGATAAGGAAATATGACTCATGCTAGGAACTGTGATAAGGATTGAAGGAAAATGTGAGTCATGGTATTTAGCAGTTCAGCAGTGAGGCATTTACGTGATTGGCCGAAGCCTGGAAGGTTCAGCAGTTTAGCAGTGAGGCATTTATGTGATTGGCTGGAATTAGTTTCCCGCGGTGCACTCACTTTGAGGCATTTATGTGATTGGCTAGAAAATCCCTCACACACTTTTTATTTAGTACACCTACTTTTGTTTTGAAGGGTATAAAAGGAGCACATCTCCCCCCTCTTTCTTCAGCAATGTATCTTCATCTTGAAGTTGAACTTCATCTTTGAAAGTCACCTAGTTGGTTCTAACCCAACACCTCAGTACCCTCAGTACCTAAGGCAGTCATCAAGCTCTACGAGCCAGAGACTAAAACCCTTCAGTACCCAAGGCAGTACTTTGCAACCGCAGTCTACCCGCAGGCGTGACAGTATACATTGCTCAACACTCTTTAGTCCTTGCTCGTCATCACAACACCTCTCGACATCATTTGCCACCCACTTCTGGATTTTTCATAATCCCTCAAGGTCAACACTAGAACTTTCCATAGGTTCTCTCAAGGTCAACAACAGGACTTCTCATAGTCCCTCAGGTCACTCAAGGTCAACAAAACACCCTTTCTTGTCATCACAACACCATTGTCATCATTGCCACCCAACTTGAAAAAATTTGCCACCCACTCAGAATTCTCCACGGTCACCCAAGGTCAACACTCAAGGTCAAAAACACTCTTGCAAAACATTTCGTCACCACCAGGATTCGAACTCAAGACTTTTTAATATCACTCAACACACTTGCTGTGATCATACCTAGGGTCAACATCATCACTCCTTTGGTCAACATCATCAAACCACCCTTCGTCACCATCACTTAGGTGCTCAACACCATCAACATCTCAAACATTATAAAACTTTTTTGAAGTATTCTTTCAACAAATATAACTTGGTCTAAGCTATTTTTATTGTTCCTTTTCCAACCCAAACATAATAAAAACTCAAGAACATTATCAAAACTCCAAAAACATAACAAAACTTCCAACATATCATACAAGTTCAAGAATCTTTGTTGACTTACAGAATTAAATCATCATGTCTGAAAACAACAACACCACCCACCTTACTGCAGAGCAAGCCTTCCAAGCTCAACAGGACATGATCCATCAGCTTCAGGCTCAAATCAATGCTCTTCAAACTTCAACAAACATCAGACCTGAGCATGTCAAGGAACCTAAAATCTCTCATCCACCGCCTTTTACTGGCCGTAAGGATCAGACTTTGGAGTTCTTGGCCAAGTGCAATATGGTCTTCACTGTTCAACCTCGTACCTACTCCAACGACATCACTCGTATTGCTTTTGCTACCAATCTTCTCAAGGATGAAGCTTATCGCTGGGTACTCCCTTACTTGGGCATGGATGAAGGAGAACAACCCTCATGGTTACAAGTATGGAATGATTTTCAAATTGA